TATATATATATATATATGCGTGTGTGTGCGCCCTCGTGTGTGTGCACGTGCGGGCATTCTCGTGCACAAGCGCGTGTACCTAGATATCTCGTATTGTTTTTGTATAAAGTGTTGTTAAGGGAAATGTAGTCGCGAAAGTATGTATGTATACATTGGCCAATGTCTGAAGCCGAATTAACATGGTATACAGAAGTGCCTGTCTTTGTGGTATTCTTATTGATCCCACATGCGTCTAAACAGAGGAATTGCTCCGACTTGTGATTGGAGGATAAAAATAGAATTCGTGATGTTTCAAAATTCACAGAGATCAAGGCTAACACAGGTGTCTATAATAGCTAGAATTTATAGAAATGTAACTGAAATCGTTCGCGCCATATGATAGTTAGTACACTTTCCTACCGGTCATAGCATATGTGGCGGGGTATGCAAAATGAAAACGTCACGTCACGAATTCTATTTTTATCCTCCAATCACAGGTCGGAGCAATTCCTCTCTTTAGACGCATGTTTGATCCCTAGAAACGCCATTGGGACGACATGATTAGCTCCAAGTGAATGCGTTTAGGAGCGAATATAAACGAACGTTTGTTTTTGATCACTACCGGTGCTTTGTTACTAATACGCGTACTCCGTTGATATACTATCGTGTGTGTGTGTGTGTGTGTGTGTGTGCGTGCGTGCGTGCGTGCGTGCGTGCGTGCGTGTGTGTGCGTGCGCGCGCGTGCGTGCGTGCATGCATTTTTATGCACGAGCGCGTGTGTGTATAGACATCAAGCATTGTTACTAACACGTACTCCGGGTCTTGTAGCACTGGCAGATTCCGCTCGGCAGACGCTTCCGCTCCCTCAAGCTCTGGTTCGTTCTCAGGTTGTACGGTGTCAGCGGTCTACAGGAGCACATACGCAGAGTAAGTTTGAAATAATGGTACCCCCGTTCCTGTAGCGGAGCGAAGGGCCACACGCGGGTAGAGCTGTAAGTGTATATGCTTGTATATATCTAGGATTGTTTCTAATCGATGCCTTAATTACAGGCTCACGAGCGCAGGTAGGATCGGTATTGCTGTTGTGTGCGCCTGGTATATTGATCTGTGATATATTTGAATACTTGATCTATTGAACACAGCACGACGCGTTAACCCGTTAGGCTACGAGTAGAAGTGTGTAGGTAGAACATTGTTTGGTGCTGGAGATTGATATTATCGTGAGCGTATTAAGAATTCATTAACTTCTTAATTTACGCATTCGTATTCGAATTCGAAATTCGCGCATTCTTAATACGCTCTTAATATTATATAAGTGTAAGTGTCTACATAATATCAGGAGTTAATAAAGACAAATCTTGTTTGTCTTTATTAACTCCTGATAATATATATATATATACAGGGGTGTCGCAATATAGATTAAGTCATATCATCTATATATTATGACACTATTATATATATCAGGAGTAGATAATAGGGATCCCTATTATCTACTCCTGATATATATATATATAATTTTATATATTCTCTGTAGCAAATTAGTCTAGCCCAGGAGTTCAAGGCCATGCTGCTGCAAGATGAGAGGTTTGACTTGATCGCACCGGTGACTATGGGTCTCGTCTGCTTCCGTCTCAAGGTAACAACCCGCACATCACGATATGCTCTCGGTTTTAAGCAGCCATTTTGTTATGTTACGCGGATTAAATGCGTGGTAATCGTGGTACATACAAATCGTGTCATATCGCCCTATCCATCGCGTTTGTCGTTTATTTATTCGTAAGAACATATCACCAGAAGTATCATAATAGCCTATAGACACTCTATATTGTGACACTCCTAGCTGATATCACTATGACTCCCTATCTTAACATCGGCGATCAGAATACTACATTAACAGTAATGTATCGGACATGAGAATTTGGTTAATTGTGAAATTGAAACTTTTCCCTACTGCAATCCGCAGTGTTGATCTATCGATTTGATTAACTTTGTCCATCACCGTCTTCGGCATAGTCCTTTAGAATTTGAGGACTAATCCTCACAAGGTTACGAGGTTAGATCGCGTATTTCTCCCTGAATAACAACAAGAACTCGCGTTTCACTTTAACGCGTTCCGTACATTCGACGCGAAATTTGCGTGACGTCATCCCCGCGACGTCACTTCAGGGTTCGAATGACGTCAGCGAGAGGCTCCTGAAGCGCATCAACGACGACGGACGCATCCACATGGTTCCCTCGAAGATACGCGACGTCTACTTCCTCCGCTTCGCCGTCTGCGCCGCCAGCACGCACTCTGCCGACGTAAGGCTCGCGTGGGACGTCATCGCGCAGCTCGCTGGCCGTCTGCTGGCTGAGGAGGAAGCGAGCGTCGTTAGCAACAAGATGGCCGCCGTCTCGCTCGGCGTCGTCAACGGCGAGAAGTGACATCTAGCGACGTCGAGCGAAGTTAGTTAGCAGTTGAACGTACAGAACAGCGTAGTAGGCTTACGTACGGAACTATATGCGTAGGTACTGGAGATGCGAGTGGATGACCGATAGCGTTATGTCGCTGCCTTCTAGACGTTTCAGTCAAAGTAAAAAATGCGCGTGGAGTAAAAAAGTAACTGAGTGGAGAGGTCGACAAGTTTCATAGTTTAGGCATTAGTTAGGTTGTGTGCAGGATGTAACACTACCCAAAAATTGTACTTTTAGTGGCGGATCGGGGGCTTGGTAAAGAAGAGGCTCAAATACCCATTCAAAAAATGGTAGAAAAAACATTTATTTCCTACGAGAAGGCTGAACTTTATTTAGAGTACATCAGACATTTTTGTCTATATATCCCGAATTAATTAAGGAGCATGCCAACATGCAAACCCTCTGCATGGTAATGTTTTAAACCTACGGCGGTCGAATATGATTGTAGCTTCCCGGCAGTTCCCGCCATGAATGCCCACCTATGATGTCAGTCCACTTTTCTTTGACATATCCTAGATTCGTCAATATAATATGCGTTCATTCAGGGGGTGAAACCGGTGGAGAGTGCAGAGGGCTACAGTCCCCGCCCCCTGTCGGGGGAAAAAATCAATAACTCGTCGGGTAACGCTATATGAACGAAATTGTGATCGCTCTTCCTCTGTAGCAGTAACTTATGAGAGCAACCATGCCTTAGCGACCCGTCAGAGCTCTTACACCCTGTCTAAAACCCTTGCCCCGCCGGGGACCTTACAGCCTGTCAAAGACCCTTAGTCCTCGTAGGGGACATTTAGTCCCCTGTAAGGCACCTTGGCCCCTGTACCGGGATATCTCTGGTATCACCCCTGCGTACATCACCGTAGTCAGGTACATTAGTAGTAATACATCATTACCATTTGTAGAAATAAACTATGTATAGGCGTAACACGTGTGTTTGTGTTTGTGTTTGTGTGCGTGTGCGTGTGCGTGTGCGTGTGCGTGTGTGTGGGTGTGTGGGTGTGAGTGTGGTATAACATATAGCACACCCGACTCCTTATAGAGGTATAAGCAGCCGATCTCTTCAGGTGGTGTCGATATGCTATAAGGGTCTTTGTGAGTGGAGGCAGTATACGTACATTCCGTGTACTGATACAATCAGTACACATCCGAATAAATGGGAAACGATTTCATTTTCTACGCTTCGATGATCTCTGATCATATTCGCTGATGTTTTTTTCCTGCAGAATAACAAAAAGGAGATATAGGGGATGCATACAAATGTAGTCATTTCCTAAAGGAAATTATTTTCTTGCTACTCGATTAACCTGACAGATGACATTTTATGGCGTGAAACGCCATAAAAAAAATTATTAATTTATTAATTTATTAAAAAAACACGCCATTTAGCTGTTATACTCCCAATCATATTTGGCAGTATTATTCACAGAAAAACCAAAATATTATATTCAAATATTTAATAGGATGTATAAAATTGTGATAAAAATGGCAGCTACGCGATTGTAAATGACATATATATATAATGTTAGCATGGCACTAGCCTAGTGCTGGCCTAATTGTAATAATGTTTGACAGAGCGAGCATGACGCTATATAACATTTAGTTAATAACAACATGTGTTGGTGTTTCTTAGATTGGCCAACATTATATTAAAGACATCTATAGTCACTGAGATAGTATAGAGGCTACAGCCCCAAGGATTCACTCAGTAAAATGTTTCGTACGTAGCGCTTGTCCACAAAAACGCACGAACAGGTACAAAATTTTAAGAAAAACGCATGTTAAATGCTCATGTGCTTTAGGGATTAGTTTTTGCCTTAATAACGAATGACAACGAACACGACGAGTGTGTATGTGTAAGCAGTATGGGTTCATGGCAATGTTTAAAAAAATAAGACTATTCCTGGCTTCCTTTCCGGGTCCCTTACGGTAGTTGATGGGCGATTAGTGGTGTTCACTTTGGTTGATAACTCCTACATGGCGTCACATTTTGATAATGTTTAAATCGCAATTATATTTCTTTGTCTCAGCTTTTCTGCCTCGAAGGGTGGTCCTTTTATCACGCGGTGCAACGGGGCGCATTTTCTCAGGAAAACAACGCGCGTTTATGGGGACTTTTCGCTTTTCCCGTCGCAAAACGTTGGTACGACGTATTTTACTGGGTGAACCGCTTGGGACAACCCCGTACATGATTATATTGTTCTGACTATGTTCACAGATAGGTCGCATTATATAGAGTTATTAGAAAATTATCGTGCGGCAATCGCATCAACGAATCAAAAGCAGCTTTTTAATTGCAAGATGCTATAAAATGTTAGTTCGTATATTTTCCCGTTCGTTTTCTGTAAGTCGTTCGAAAAGTAAGGTCCAAAAATATTTTTTGAAATCTAACACCGTATCATATTTAATCGGATATATTTGACTGTCGATGGCCGTTGATGGTAAGTTTATTTGTCACTAATGTTCATACCTCAATTTATTTTGCGACCCCACCCCAACCTACAGTAACACACTTTCCTACATGCCAACAAGCACGTGTCGTACCGAACTGGGTATATTATTATTCAAGTCCATTTTTTAATCTCAAACCTATTGCTTCTGTAATCTGGTTCAACAGTTGTAAATCGCAGTTTTATCGTGGTAAAAATATACTGTGCCCTTCTTCTGAACTTTGTTTTGTATGCGACAGTAGTGTGCAAAAATCATTTTGAAAACAAGCAGAATATGTGATGATCATTAGTTTATTTAAAAAATGTGTAAATATATTTTTTCATAACAATGATTATTTAAACGATCCACAATGTAAAGAACATTTCATGTGCTACCAAAACACATACACCCACATACACACGCTCGCATGCACGCATGCACGCACGCACACATACACGTGCACATTTACTCCCGTTCACGCGCACGTGTATGAATATATATATATATATATATATATATATATATATATTATATACATGTTTTAGTCGCATATGAAATGTTCTTTCATTATTGTAATGATTCATGTATTCGGAGCACAGCAGGGAATTAACCTCTAACCTACACACGGTCGGCTCACATATCTGACGTGCACAGCATGTACATACACACTCACACAACAGTTTAGCGTAAGAAGATGGTAAACAATCATGTATTCACGTTGTCAAATAAAATATCTGCATAATTATCAGTACGTTTGTATAGCTGTATGCATTCGAAAATGATTACTATATTTATCACGACAATGTTGGAATGCGTGTAGATACCCAGGGGCAAAACCCCCATTTTTGGGGTAAACCAGAACCGGGATGCTATAAAAGGTTGTTTGGTATCAACGTGTTCAGGGGACCTCCCTGCTGAACAACTTCCAGATGGACAACCTTGAAAATATGCTGCTGAAAAAAAATGGCGGCCATTTTTCAAAATGGCCACCGTGTGTATCTAATGATGATCAATTTTTAAGATAATGTTTGAATAGAACTTGCTTTCACCATCTGTGTGGTATCATATAAAAGGGAATTAAATTCTCTACAATATGATACCACATTTAATGGTGATGGTGATTATTTTAATGACAATTTTGGGCCAAAAATGATTTTTTACCATTTTCTCCCAAAATATGAATTCCACCAAAATACATTTTTCTCCATATTTCAAGTGCTTTTGAGTAATGAATTGAAACTTTTCAGAAAACTGCCCATATGTATGTTTAATATTGTAGCAAAAGCTCAAGTTAATTGCTTTTCTAACAATAAAGTTATATTGCTCAAAATTTAACATTTTGATATTAACTAAAAACAGCATTTTGTACATTATAGTGGGGTATGGCGTGTCATGAAAATAGCTCCCGTAGGATTGATTTTTTGGCTTTATCGAGTTGATTTAGGGTCAAACTATCAGAAAATTATGGAGATCAAATTTTCCGACCCCTCGACCCCCAGAGGAAGGGCTTTTCTTTCCCATGACCCCCTGACTGACCCCGGCCTGTTTCTGCTAATAATGAACCTATTATCACGATCCTGGCGTCATTTCAGGGGTTTGGGATGATGCTGAGTCTATTTATCACAATTTCAAAGCGACCGGAAGTGGCCATTATCGACTTCCGGTTACGATCTTCGTTAAATTCAATGTCATTATCATGGCAGTGATAAACTTGGTCATATAGTACCTCTTTCTATAGGTTTTCAGGCCTGGGAAGACAACTGGTGCAGTCATTTTTTGCGATCAGATAGTCATGCCAAGAGATAATGGCACTTTAAGTGGCTATCGCAGACTACCAGTTAGGATCGACTAGTCAGATCTGGTTGTCCTGTCTGGCAACAAGAAGCGATTTTACTTGTCCAACATTTTCTTACAGTCTATGAGCCGTTAAGGTATATTTTGGGTTCAGTACATATCATATTACAGTATATACATGGAAAATCGTTAAGAAATTCAGTGTGTGAAACGAACCTCGTCAATACCCTCGCAGACGTCTACATTGGGAGCGATTACCAGAGGATTCTTGAGGAGTTTTGCCCACTGGGTACCGCCTCGCTGACGAAAATAAAGGTTCTTCCATCTATAAACTACACTTTATTGAACTAATATCGAAATAAAGCTCCAAACATGCAACACAACACCGCGTACTCGCCATACAGGCGAGGAGATGACAAGGCTGGTAAAGACGTCACATGCACTTGGTGACAGGCATACAATCATCACTGGTGACCAAGCCACATACGAACTCGCAGTAGCGATCAGGGACAAACACCATGATGAGTTTTCCAACGTAGTCTTGCTCCTGGGAGGCTTTCACCAGGCACACAACTATTTGAAGGCGATCTGTAAGATCATCAGGGGTGCAGGAGCAGAAGATCTTCTGGTCACAGCTGGCCTGTGCCAGGAGGGCACTGCAAGAAAGATGTTTGGGGAGAAAGCCGACTATTATCACACAGTTCATGCAATCAGAATCCTTAGTGAAGTCATGTGGCTTCTCAGATGGGAGTCATTTGAAGCCTGGGTGGCCGACAGAGATACCACTCAGTGGCAAGGTAGTGTTGAACACCTGTTGAAGAGACTGCTTTAGAACAACATTGTCGTGACTGAGCAGCTGGAGATGATCCGAAATTCCCACACCCAGCTAGCAGCTCTTCAAGATCAGATGCTGGACTTCCAGAACTCACTAGGCGACCATCCCACAGCTCTCTTATGGTCCAATTTCTTGGATATGGCAGACATACTGCACAGATTCCTCTACCATCAACGAGAAGGAAACTGGATGGGCCACCTGTGTGAGTCAACAAGGATGCTCTCCTACCTCACTGCAGCCGGGCACTTTAAGTACGGACAGCAGTCCCTGCCTTTGTATTTGGCAGAGATGAAGAAGCTGCCCAACACTGCTCCCGACGTCCACACTGCACTGATGAAAGGAGTGTTTGTTGGAAGGCGAGCAGCTGGCAGCCACAACGCCGTCTCTCCTGACATGCTCATTGAGCAGACGTATAATGCAGATGTCAAGGAAGAGAGTGGTCTGGAAGGCATAACACTGAACGAGGCTGCTCAGACCAAATGGATATACACCAAACCTGTCACGGCAGCGATCTCTGCAGAACTGAAGTCTATGTTGCACCTGAACACTGCCAACCCGCATCACGAGTCCGGTCCAACCCGAGTGGCAAGGGATGCAGAGATGGTCCAGAAAGTGATAGCAGCCATGGAGACCAACCCATTCTCAGCAACAATGCCAGCCCTGGTTAATCTATCAACGGGGCAGCGTGCAGAGGCAGCAGTCCAGGAACACCTCATCGGTGTGAAGGAACTAGGTCTGAAGGCATTGTCCAGTTCCATATCCAGTGATCAAAAAAAGATGTCCCTCGTGAGGTGGAAAACCTTCCACACGCAAAATTAAAAAGCCAAAGAAGTCGACAAGGAACAGTGCACCAGGCAAGAGTGATGAAGTAGCTGCCCTTCTTCGCATAACACAGATCATGGCCAGTGGTGGAGATGTCAACATCGTCAACTTTATTGGCAACCATGAGTGTAGTAAGATGCCCCCGTCTTTATTCAATGAAGGTGGAAGCATGAGGGCTGCAGGTACAAAGGCTAGTCTCATGAAGACCCTGAAAGAGGAGACTCCAGTGACCAGTGTTGCTGATCTGCCACAAGAAAACCTGAAGACAGCAGTAGTGGTTGATGCAATGCATGCCATACGCCACAGGCTGGTCATTCAAGAAAGATGACGGAGCCATTGCTGATCGCTACAAACACCAGCTGCTGAAAGATGTTCCTGCTGGCACAGGGATCATACATTTCTGCTGTGACCGATACAGTGAACAAAGCCTCAAATCAGCAGAGCAGCAGCACAGGTACGGATGGTCCAGACCAGCTAAGGTGTTTGAAGTCAGTGAGCAGTACCGAGCCCCAGACCCACAAGAATTTTTCTCAGTATCAGCCAATAAAGCTGAACTTTTGAGTTTCCTGTGTGAGACGTGGACCGAGAGAGAACAGCTAGATCCAGCACTGGGTTCAACTCGCCTTTACCTAGGCGGAGGATTCAAGGAAGAAACCCTGAGTGTGCTGCTCACCGAAGGGTCCGCAACTGACGTCACTGCCTTGGAGTCTACACAGCAGGAGGCTGATACAAGAGTCATGCTTCATGCTATATACAGCATTCAGAATGGAGATGTTGAAAGCGTGATCATCCATGGCAATGACACGAATATCATCATCATCTGTGTCTACTATGCCACCACTATTCTGAAAGACCTTCCTGAACTGTGGGTGAGAACTGCCACGAAGAACTACCTACCCATACACCAAATGGATATGGCACTGGGACCTTTGCAGTGTCGTGCACTACCATTTCTCCACAGCCTGAGTGGAAGAGACACGACAAGCTATCCTTTCTTCACTGGTAAGAAGACCTGGATGAGCAGTAGCAAGACTACAGACATATCTAAACTTGAAGACTTTGGCGAGCAAGGTCAGCAAGACACCCGCACAGGTTCATTGGACTTGGTATCCTCGGATAAAAACACCAGGGGTAAAAATTAACTTTTGAACACGGGAGTCCAACAGACTCCCTGCCCTCAAAAAGAGGGAGTCCGCAGCAAAATGAGGGAGTCCGCAGTTTGAAGTTCAAAACTAAATAACGCATGTGCTTATTTTGAAGATTCATGTGGTTGCACGTCTGCCAAATTTTCTTTGAACATTTGCTGAAAAAAATACGGTAATTCCGCGAGGCCTTGCTCTGGAACGAACTAGTTAGTATAGTAGAATTTTCAAAGAGTCCGACAGTAAATCAGGGAGTATTTGACTCTGGACGCGCATCGCCAGACAGCTACAGAAGAACTATAGTTTGAATTCACAAATCACTGTTCACATAATATAACTAAAGCAAAAATACATTTTAGATGTAAACACATAAACACAATATATTTCAGGCAGCTACAGAAAAACTATAGTTTGAATTCATAAATCACTGTTCACATTAGATAACTAATGCTAAAAAAACATTTTAGAAATACTTGTGCTGCCACCTAGCATCACAAATCCTAATTCCAAGATTATCATCATTAGATTGTCATCATGCAGTAGAGATCACAGAGGTTTTATTATATCAGGAGTGAATAATAACAGATCTATTATCATATAGATCTATATAGATCTATATAGATCATATATATATATATATCAAGAGTACATAACAGAGATATGTATATAGATAAGATAGAGAGATAGATAATTTGTATATATATCTATAGATCTATTAATATTCACTCCTGCTTATGTAAATGCACTTCTTTGTTGTATCATGCAGAACACCGACATTATCATCCGCGTTAACTTCATTCAAAATCTGCTTATTTTAAATAAAAGCAGACAACGGCAAATGATATCGGTCACTGCCATTTTAAGGAATGCCATATCTACACATTCCATTTTATATACATATATACACACACGCACACGTGGAGTGAACATATGGATTTCCGGCACACCAAAACTGAAAATCAGATTTTTTATAGTTGTAATCACTGCTATTTCTCAGATATCTATATCAATTGCACTATAGTAGTTACAGCTGTAAATTTGTAATCGCTGCCAGTTTTCAGGTATCTATATTAATTGCACTATCGTAGTTCCACCCCCGCCGCCCCGACCGTCGGAGGCAGACACGTCACTTCGCCGGCCGCTGCTGCTGCTTCGACACGGCGACGGCTTTGCTCGGGATCGCCTGCTGCGAAAACTTCAGCAGCGCGCCGTACTTCTGCTTCATCTTGACGAGGTCCTGTTTCAGCGTGCTGTTCTCTTCCTTCAGGTTGTCGATCTCGTCGTTCAACTCCTCGCCCTGGTCCTCGAGCTCGTCCTTCTGGTAGACGCGCTTCTCGCGGCAGCTCGCCGCGTAGCCGCGGTTCTTGAGCGTCCGCCGCCGCTGCTTCAGCTCGAGCACCTTCTCCCTGCGTGGCGGGGGAAAGAACGCAATGACGTGAAAAATTGCAACTTAAAGCAGAGTAACTGAAGACACCACGTAACCTGCCATAAACTTTAGTGATATCCTGCCTTCAATGTTAAACTTCAGGCGTAGCTTAGTAAAGGCGAGAACGTGATGAAGCGAAAAATTGCAACTCAAAGCAGAGTAACTAAAGACGTACACGACTTAACCTGCTATAAACTTTAGTGATATTATCCTGCCTTCAATGTTAAACTTCAGGCTTAGCTTAGTAAAGGCGAGAACGTGATGACGCAAAAATTTGGAACTCAACGCAGTGAAGACACGGACGTATACTGCCACAAACTGCCAACTAGACTAGTATATACCAAGTAGACAACCAACCAACTAAACTAAAGGCAAACTTTAGTGATATCCTGCCCTCAACATTAAACTTCAAGGCTAGCACCTTCTCCCAGTACAGCGGGGCAAGAACGTGGCGGATGGAAGTTTTGATTCGACCACGACCATGAAGAAATAATTACGCAGTGGCTGGAGGTATGGCAGCCGTCGTTCGTTGAAGCCCCTTTTTGGCGTTAGGGTTAGGGTTAGGGTTAGGGTTAAGGTTAGGGTTAGGGTTAGAGTTAGGGTCCTAGCTCATCTAAACTTTCAAATCGTGAATTTATTTCCCAAGGCGTTATTTCGAAATCTGGCGCCACCGCTGCCATCTTTGTCTCGTTAAGTATGAAAGCGAATGGACTGCCGTACCCGTAGCCACTGCCAAATAATTATGCTGACTCACGAGAGTGATGGTTTGTATATTTTGGTATTTGGGCATATAAAAAAGCAAAATTACAGTTTGAACTTACTTTGAGATGCCTTTTAGAAGGCGGTTGAGGTCTCGCACAGGTAGCATTATCAGCTCTTCGTCCGATATGATAAAACTCTCACCACCGCCCTTTTCCTATAAAGATAGCATGTGATTCTATAGATACAATAATGTAACCCAAACCCAAGAGGATAGGGTTACAAAGTGTCCCTATCCTTTTCTGCGGAGGAATGCCCGAGTGAATCACTCGGGCCGGTTTGCTGGTGCGTTTTTAGATACAAGAACTTCCAAACTGGGTTTATTCTCAACACGAACCTTTCTCCGCTATCTGGGAACTTACTATGTATCGCAATACTCTGTATTAAACTAATATAACCTGTTACAAAAATTCGAAGTGACGAGCGGCGAATATACTGAGCGCCATTTCTGTTGACCTGTGACGTACGCATTTCCCAATGCGCATAGCGATCGGCAAACGCAGCGCCCTCCGATTGGTCGGTGAATCCACTCTTCAAACCGAAGTACGTCACAGGTCAACAGAAATGGCGCTCAGTATATTCGCCGCTCGTCACTTCGAATTTTTGTAACAGGTTATATTAGTTTAATACAGAGTACATTGTGATACATAGTAAGTTCCCAGATAGCGGAGAAAGGCTCACGTTGAGAATAAACCCAGTTTGGAAGTTCTAGTATCTGAAAACGCACCAGCAAACCGGCCCGAGTGATTCACTCGGGCATTCCTCCGCAGAAAAGGATAGGGACACTTTGTAACCCTATCCTCTTGGGTTTGGGTTACATTATTGTATCTAGTGATTCTATAGCTCTAGTACTATAGCCCGCGGATCGCTGCCGCAGGCTGCCTGCGGCAGGCACCCTGCGGCACCCTGCGGCAGGCACCCTGCGGCACGAGCCGCAGGCACGGCCGCCGCGGCACGGCCGCAGGCACCCTGCGGCAGCGATCCGCGGGCTATAGTACTAGAGCTAGTGATTCTAACATTTGATTGAATTCACTTGTAACTTACAAACTCACATAATGTTTATATCGGTCGAACGGAAATGGTCAAACAACACCCTCAACAACACCCCTCTCGATTTTTAAGGGGGTTTCCCCACATTGTCGAAAATGACATAGGTCTCAATCGGGCCATGCTCTCTATCCTTGAACCGAGTTGTTTACTTGGTTTACTTACATATTTTCTCTTCGATATGCCTTTTTTCGCATGTGTCCTACTAGTACTTGTACTTGTTCCCGAAGGTATGGTTTCGCTTACTATACTTCCACCACCTCTTGTTGTTTTCGCTTTCTTTGCTTTAGGCATTTGAAATATTTTAAGTCTCCTTTTTATTTGTTTTAAATTCAACATATATAAACATGAGAACACACCTCAAACATCAATACGTTTTGCAATTTGTGCTGACTCAGCACTTTTTTTCTTTTCAGATCGTACCGCCATCTGTTGGATGTTGCTAATACTTATCTGTAGCTGACTGCATACAACCTGAAACCATAGACTCCCTTGGGCAATCGCTACTTGTAACAAATTAATCGATCTATATACGCAATTGATCTAATACGCAAGCGAACTAAAAACGCTCTATCAGTTCTAATATTATAAATACGTAAAGTCATAACGTTGCTTCATGTGCTTTTTGATTTAAAGCAGGAATAATGTTTTTATGGTTTTATTTCTAGAGTTTGTTTTCGCGTGCATCACTTTAGCTACCGGTAATCGTACTACATTGAGTTATATTAAGTTATTAGGTGTATTAATTCGTGTAACACCGTGCAGCCTTTTATGAACGCCATCTTTTGTTTTGCATAAAATGACCTTGCCCTGTTTCTCTATAACATTTATCATTAGTTAGTTAGTTAGTTAGTTAGTTAGTTATCATACGTTAGTTGTTAGAACAGCATTACCAATAGCAAACTTGAAATGACAAAAGTTCAAACGACTAAAGTCGACCACGTTAGGCCTATCAAACCTCCAATTAAGTTATCTCACCCATTTACACCACGTTATCTTATCTTCCGTTTTGTGAAATTACGATTGAGTCAGCATCTTTCGTATATTTGAATTACTTAAATGCTATATAGATGATATCGCAAAAAGAAATTTTCACAATTAACTTAATCCACGTATAATCTTAATTAAGAGAAATATTAATTCCGTTTCGCCGTCGTAGGCCGTCTAGGCTTGTATATTAATATATAATTGCTTTACATATGCGAGTATATTGCGTATAAATATTTGTACCTGGATTTTAGGACACAATGCCAGCAGAGGCTCATGCATTGAGATATAATTTTGTAATATTATATATTATATTGTATATATATATATTATATATATATATATATATATATATTGTATATATATATAATATTGTATATATATTAAAGTTCGTAGTCACTAATCAAAATTAAAAGCATAAATAATGGCAACACAATTTTTTTAACACTTTGATATTTCGGATTATTTGATTATCTGAGACAATGTCAAATAAGAATCTTACGAATGCCATTAAAATCCATTAGAAATATGAGTGCATCATTCAGCCAATGTTTATTCCCATAATTTAATAAACGAATTCCATTTCATATTGTACTTAAGACTCTCCAATCTCTGTAGCACTGTCACAGAAAGCTAACAATATGCATAACATGTGTTTTTCGTTGAAACTTGATTTCACAATCTAAAACTGAAACTCATAACGGTTTATGTGTAGAAATATAATGTTAACCTATACCGGCATTTTTGCACAAAGCATATATATCTCCCTGCTATACCACATTATAAATTTAAATCAATGTCATGCATGAGTGTATTGCCAAACCTATCGCGATAAATATATGGTTATCTTGATGACTTTAGTGCTTGATAGGTGGCAGGATAGTGTAGTTTCCGATACCGCACAAGTTACTGTTTTTCTTCAGCTTAACGAAGCCATCTTCTCCCCAATCTGTTCCCCAGCTGAAACAACAAAGCAATCAATCACCACTTAATTATATATTAAAAAAACAAATAATAGGTTAAGGGTGTTTAAAATTTAATTAACGAGCTTTCGAGATGTACATCTCTTCATAAGGCATATTCATCAGCGGACATATTTAACTACTATATATTATATATATATATATATATATATATATATATATATATATATATATATATATATATATATATATATAATCAAGAGTAGATAATAAACATGTTTATTATCTACTCTTGATATAATCAGAAGTGCATGGATTTACATGAACATGGTTATGTACTCCTGCTGATGTGATAAATTACGCAACTGGTACAAAACTTGGTTGCGCAAGATTGAGTATAACAGGGATAAAAACAACCTCGCGTAAACGCGCACAATGCATCATCGTCAGTGACAGCTTGGAGTAATCATTCGGACTACTCCAGTCTTTACTCCAGACTACTCTAGCCATTCTTACTACGCCAGAATGATTACTCCAATGTTACAGGGATGAGCTCCACGTGCACGCACCTATTTATAGCGAGCCAGTAAGGCACTCCGGCCTCCTCTCCAACGCCGACGATGACGACGACGTGGTTCATGGTGCTGCCGCAAACCCCGACGTCATCCAAAACGCCTCGAGTAAAAATAATCAAGCATATAATATATATATATATATATATATATAAATGGCATCACTGTATTCCTGACGCGCATAGAATGATGCGTTTTGTAAAATAATCATTTAGGTGGCTCTAAATTAGCGCTTGAATCGGTGGCACTCGACGATATAACCGCTTCAGTGAATTGCGTTGTGTTACCCCGCCGGGTCGTCTAGGCAAATATACGCGCTTTTTACACAATTATACGGGAAGGCGACGATATTCGGCTTATACTGTCCCATCAGATTTTCCACGTTTCGCAACGTTCCGATACCCCGGGCCCCCACTCACGGGTTTATCAAGGGAGATTATAGCAGACGCGTTGGCGCCGAAATAAGAATACTTTCTTATGAATACTGCTAAGACCAGTCACCCGCAATGCCGCGGTAAAGCGTGCCGATCGATTGACTAAAATACGGGTATGAGGGCTTTATGTAGCGGCCAGGTGACTAAAATATGATAGTGAGGGCTTCATATAGCGGTCAGGTAACTAAAATATGACAACAAGGGCTTCATATAGCGGTGAGGTGACTAAAATATGACAATTAAGGTTTTCTCTAGTGGTCAAAGGATTAAATTACGAGTATGAGACCTTCCCATAGAGGTCATATGCAGATGATTAGAATATAACAATGGGGGCTTCCTATAACGGTCAAATGACTAAATTACGAGTGTGAGGGCTTTCTATAGCGGTCAAAGGACTAAAGTACGACTATGAAGGCTTTCTACAGCCGTCAAATGACTAAAATACGAGTATATGGGGGCTTCCTATAGCGTCCGGGTTACTAATATACGACTCTGAACGCTTTGTATAGCGGTCAGGTAACTGAAATACGACTATGATGGCTTCCTATAGCGGCCAGGTGAAGCTGTATAACAATACAATCGAATCGCTGTGTCTCGCATAGCTTACCTCCTCCGTACATAAAGAAGTTTGAGGATTCTGTCGACAGAGCCAATCCGATGATGGTCGGTGCGTAGCAAACAAAATCTTGTAGAACGGTTTCACCGTCCCCGCGACTGCAATGATGTGTTACGATGTGTATATAGGTACTCTCATTATTTAAAGTACGATAATGAATTAATATATGGTACTCGACTCTCGAGTATCCGACTTTTGGAGAATTTCTTCTGCATTCTGTCACTTTGTGATGACGAAAATGTACAAGGTGCGCACTCTTAAACTTTACTCACTTACGTTGTGTGTTTACACGGTCTAATAAATAGCACAATGGTATAAAGGGATGCTAACATGGAGCTTACGTGTAAGTATGGCTATGTTACACGTCATATTGGGACAAAGCTACCAAGTAACAGGGCCGCATCCTAAGCGAATTCCTATCGACGAAGGTGGAAATTTTTGGGGTTTATTTTTGCTTGAAAAGGTTTCAGGATATAAACCGTGTACGATAAGATGAATATAAGAAGGGGTGATGGAAAGAAGGGATGTAGACCAAACTCCGCGACAGATGGCGCTCTCGCTCTAGCTCAATTCGCGCAGTTGTACGAAAAGGGCGCTGCATGCCGTTCGGGTGTAGACACGTCCACTCGCATTTATTTTAACATGATTAACTTTTACGGAAATTTATCCTTTTTATTTTTCTCCACGACCTAGGGCTCAACTGGTCCCACTTCGTCGCCGGTTACGATCCTCAATGATATACGTGATAGAATTAATTAATGTAAAGAACAAATAAACGCGTGCACTCACGTATTGTCATAGTAGAAAGGGTCTGACCGATAGAGAGGAACATAGTAGCCGTACGTCTTTATACACTCGCCCTGCTCTGCCTGCAACAAGTTTCCATTGTTAAGTCGTAAACATTAGGCGCGTTCACACACAAGAAAAACCGCGATGGTAATCGCGATGAAATACCGAGATAATTGTGTCGTTGTTCACACAGGCGGAAATATCTCGCTAATCGCCGAGCGGGATAATTCTATTAATCGAACTGCGCATGCTCAGTGCCGGAATGATGCTCACTGCGCATGCTCACTGCTCACTCGCTTGGAATGATGGGATAGAAAATACCGGGATTATTTGCGCGAGCGTTCACACACGCAAATAATCGCGCTAATTCCAAATAATCGCAGTCAAAAGTGCGATTTGGAGCGCGATGCTGATCGCGATTATTAGTGAGTATTATTGCGTTCACACTTGTAGTAATCTCGGTATTTCGATCGCGATGCAAAAACCGGGATTTGTATCCCGCTTATTCGCGCCAGTGTGAACGCGCCTATTGTGATGCGAGTTCACATGCAGGTGATACATCTAATTTACACGTGCAAGTTGTCGCCACCTGCTTCCTTGAAGATGCACGTGCGTTATATCATGAATTATTGAGTAATGCGGGTGACGTCATCGCGGTTGGTCACAAAAAGGTCACAACCGGTTAAAAGTTCACCCCGAAGACGTAGAAAAAGATTATCGAGAGCGGTGGTTTTGTAATGTTGATTTTAAACATTCCGTTAAATGTCAGATGTCACTGTCAATATCAAATTAAAAGTATAAATTTAAATTAAATTTAAATTTCAAATTAAAATACACCAAGGCCCTTCCTATTCGTACTTGGGCTGAAACAAATTTCATGGTCTCTTGATAAAATTACGATAAAAAGTCGAGAGTCATTGCCGAATAGAAATTGTTTTTCACTCCGTTCGTTGCCCTATGCATTTCTTGAAAATGGCACTTGCTACCACTTGAGTCGCATTTTTACACCTTCAATAGTTTTTTATAACTGATACATTCATACCCCAATATGAATGCCCGATTGAATAGAGATGAATACAAACTAACAATTCAAACCAAACTGCAAGATAAAACGAAATAAATATTTAAAACTGGAACCGAAAATATGATTTTCAGCTATGCTCATCTTGGGTACTCCATTATGACCTTTCTTTACTTGCTTTCTCTAGTTATTTTTAGTACCTAATCTGGATGATTCTACGTAAGATGAATTACTTTTGCCTAATAATGTCGATCAGAATTATGAAAGTATTAATACTGATAATTAATGGATTTCCAGAGGGAAGTCAAGGTCATAGACCCGTACACCGTTATTCGCGTGCGTTACCTCTCTCTCTCTCTATCTCTCTATCTATCTCTCTCTCTCTCTCTCTCTCTCTCTCTCTCTCTCTCTCTCTCTCTCTCTCTTGCTCTTCTCTTCTTTTTTTTCTCATCGTACTCTCTCTCTCTTTCTTCCTTATCCGGTTTCTACTATTTCTTACCTCCTCTATTTTTCTCGTTGTTTTTTTGTCTATTTCTTCTCTATTCTCATCTTTCATACAGTCGCTATAACCTCCTATTTTTTACTCTTTGTTTACCCTATCCCTTCTCCCATACTCCTCTCTCATTATCTTCTTCTGACTAATTCTCGGCTATCAATCTATCTAATCTATCTAATCAATCTAACTTATTTTTTTATATAACACGCTCACGTCTACTCCCATTCCTTATCTCACCTTTCATCTCCTTTCTCGCTCTCATCTCAATCTCTTCTCTCTCTCGCTCTCTCTCTCAATCATTCTTTGATTACGTCGCTTTCTCTCCCCGCTCTCTCATTTACGTTACCGTGTACTGGTAGTTCCAGTCGTACGCCATGTACTTCATGGCGAAAATGCAGCTAAATGCGTCGTAGACGGATCCACCTTGACATCCGCTGGTGTGAAACCTTTCGCAACAGTCGACGATCAGCTGTTCGCTGAGGGCTGGCAGCGCCCCCTGTGCCAGACACACGCTCGCTTCAATGGCGCCCGTCTAGCAAAAGGAAAACAGCGTCGGTACTACGTAAAAGTCGGTCTCTCTATCGCCAGAGAGCGTATAATTCGACGTTGTGCCTTTACTTTTTTTGAGATATTTGCATTAAACTATACTTGCGAGAGTGTCGTCGTATTAGGGCTCACGAGAGACGGTTCCCATACGAACGACCATAGCTGTTAACCAGAAGGAAAAGGGGGTAGACCCACATGGATTCCACGATTACGTATAGTCACCGGGTGCAGGTAATGTCTGGCTCACTTCGTGAATAAATATAAACAACTAACAACAAATATAAATATAGAAATGTTTGATAAATTACGTGCATAGTAATTCAGAGCCGAACCATCCGAATACGGATATAAACCCACTAAAATGCCATGATTTGTGTGCGGATCCCAATGGGTAAACTCATAGAAATTCCCGAAGACATATAACTGTAACAGAGCTAACAACGTGAACAATCTTTCCAGATCTCTGATTCTTGCTTTTAAAAATCGATACCAATCGATATCATATCGGTAATTCGCGCGTGTTTTGTTGAGAACGAGAGTGTACGCACAGACACTTACCATCGCAAATGCGTAACAGCAGCCGCAATCGCCCTGCAAGAATGCATGAAGAAATAAATAAATAAATAAAAATAAATAAATAAATATAATTATATATATATATATCGCTGTTACGTAAAAAGGGTCACATATAACGACTTTACGTTAGCAATATTACCATAATTGCCGTCACGTATATTACATTACATTACATTACATTATATTACATTATATCACATATATCACATTATATTACATTATATCACATATATCACATTATATTACATTATATTATTATCTGTCGATATTAATCGGACGCATTTTGTACGAAGTGGCCCGATGGATAAGATATATATGCTCTGGATGGATAAGATATTATATACTCTGATGACCACCACCCGAAGCTCGGTGAAATGGATTATTTCGGCGTTCGACGCTCTCCCAGGTACTATATTTTGCACTCACGTATCGTTGACCTATGCGCTGACTTTATGATGCGCACGTGAAGGGGGATGACGCGTATAATGCGACAGCCGGGGTTGTTTGGGTGGGCGGGTGGGACGGGGTGTAGGGTGATGTCCAACTACGCGCAGCTAACACACACTCACCTGGTCCTTCACTAGCGGAATGCACTCCGGGTCCCAAGCGGGGACGCAGGATGACGTTTGTCGCTTCCTCCTCGTCGGCCCCTCCCCTACCTGGACGAGCTCTGTCATATTCGGAGGAACGTTAATCTCGGGATGCTGAATTTCCGTGAAACCCAGGCGGTCGCGAACCAGCTCACCAACGGTCTACGATGTTATGATACAACGTTATATTATTATATATATCACAATTTG